ATATTGGGTTTTGGAGGAATGCATGGCTCTAGAGATATCCTCATACATTTCCTCCACCTCCTCATCGGGGTGTGCCGAGGTTGGTGCGTAAACCTGTATGACCTTCAGCGAATACCGTTTGGTGATTCTGAGTATAAGGTACGCAACCCTCGTCGACACACTCCCGATCTTTACAACGTTGTTAACGAGAGACTTGTGGACGATAAATCCGACACCTCCTTGGGACAGATGGTCGCCCTCCCGGTGATAGAGCAAGTTGCCGGATTCGAGGATTACCGTGTCCTCCCCCTCTCTTCGGACTTCGGATAATCCTATAATATGCCAGCGCAACTTGTCTATCTCTTCTTCCAGCTCCACGATCTTCTCGTCAGTCCTCAGGGTGCGTGCGTTGTACGTTGCCAGGTCGAGTCGTCTAAGGTGGCAACCGAACCTCCACCGGAGATTCTTAGCACCCCCTGCCCCGCCGTTACCATGGTCGCCACCGTAGCCAGGAATAGTGGGGCCGCCGGGGACTGGGGGCCGTTTTTTTTTTACTGTCATTCATAGGGGGGTATTTGCCATAGTTGCCACGCTTGGCGAGCGGGTTGGCAACCGCAGTTTTTTTTATTGTAATTTGGCTATTATCAGGAAGATGCTGCTGCCCATCTCCTGCCTGTTTCCCTTTGTCGCCTTTTACGACACCCACGGGAGGATATGGGGTAGTGGATATTCTTGACCGCCACTACACGGCTAGAGTATCATTGCGGATTAATATTGCAGCATCACTATCAAATCTCAAGGCAGATGCCCTCAATACATGGAGCTCTGAAGGAACTTTCCCTAAACTAACCGAATTGGCTCTTAAACACGTCTTTGTGATGGCCAGTTCCGTATCCATAAATACCATAAAAAAAGACTGAGAGAGTGCCTTAAATCAGAAATATAATCACTTATTAACTCCCTTCAAACTGTATCCAATAAATATAAATCAGCCCAAAATGAAATAAAAGAACACATATTGGCTATGGATAATGTGGTATAGATTTGTAAATATAATGAGGAGCGGTTTGACTCTTTAGCAAAGAGTATAGTAACTGTCCTATACAGGAACTCCTTAGTTAAATATCAATGTGATATATATTAATTTAAGACTGGTAGCAAATGTGATATCTTATTATTTACTTTTTAACTTAGCCAAGTTTTTGGCTACCAAGACTGCTTTTATTGAGCATAATCATTTGACATTTCATTTGGAATCAGTTCCAACTAATTTAAATTAGTGAATGTGACAATAGAGGCAATCTCTAGTAATAATAAGAGTTTAATTAATTTTGAATACAGCCCACAAATAAGTAATAAAAATTGTTTACACCTGGTGCATCAAAATATACAAGGCATGATGGGCAAAGAATTGGAAGTTGAATTGTTTTTAAATAGTAACAAATGTGGAGACTTTAACATCAATCTCCTTGAAACTTCTTCCATTAGTAAGACTGCTTTACGCAGTAAACAGGAGTGTTATCAAGCCTGGGCTGCGGCTTCGGCGACTCGGGATGTAAACACCAGCATAAGTATGCTAAGAAGTAAGAAGTATAACTTCGCCTCCAGGTCCTCCAAAAGAGTTATTGCCAAGGCAAAGTCAGAGCACATGGGCAGAATTGGCGAGAAACTAGTTCGCGTTCCTTCGGGAACCCGTGCATTCTGGTCTCTCGCCAAGGCTGTCCAAGGGAATTTCTGTAAGCCATCATCTCTGCACAGGGAGGACGACTCACTGGCCCACGACGCAAAAGAGAAGGCCGACCTTTTAGGCTCCCTTTTTGCGTCCAACTCGACTGTTGATGACGGGGGGAACACACCGCCGACCATCCCGCGGTGTAAGTGCTCCATGCCGGATGTGCGGTTCTCACAGCGCTCGGTTCGCAGAGCACTCCTCTCCCTTGACATCCACAAGTCGAGTGGGCCTGACGGAATCCCCCCTATTGTGCTGAGGACATGTGCTCCGGAGTTGGCACCGGTTCTAACGCGTCTTTTCCGGTACTCCTACTCCCTAGGCGTAGTCCCGAAATCATGGAAGACAGCTTTTGTCCACCCGATCCCTAAAAAAGGCGACCGCTCAGACCCGTCCAACTACAGGCCTATCGCCATCACCCCCTTGTTCTCCAAAATAATGGAATCCGTTATAAACTGCTACCATACCATCCACACCATCTGGATGATTGGCGGTCCACCACTGTGCGATTTAGAAGATGTTTTCTTCCTCGCACAACTTCCTTGTGGAATAGTTTACCACCAGCGATTTTTCCGGACCGATACGACTTAGGGACCTTCAAGAAAAGAGCCTACTCCTTTTTAAAAGGCCGGCAACGCATCTGCAATTCCCCTGGTGTTGCGGTTATTCATGGGCGGCGGTAGTCACTTACCATCAAGTGAGCCGCATGCTCGTTTGCCCCCTCTCCTATAAAAAAAAATTAAGTTTAGCTCATTGTTTAAATCGTATAATCTTGTTAATTTATTCTTAGAACCAACACGTATTGTTGGGCATAGTGCGACCTGTATATATAACATTTTTACAGATGTTAAGCCCTTGTATAAATCAATTATTCAAAATTTAAGTTCAGATCACTGTGGACAGTTGGTATCACTACCTTACATACACAAAAAACAGAAAAATAAGAAAGTTGTGTTTGTTCCAATAAATGAACAACACTTGGAGAGCTTTAGAAGTAATATAATAAAAAGACTATATTTACTATTCATCACTTTCGTTTTAAAAATAGTGCTAATTATTTGTATGCTACATTATTTAAAATTATGTTGTGAATTTAGTAGAATATTTACTTCTAACACTCTCTCTTTTAACAGTTGCAAATCATTTAATGAATGGGCGACAATAGGAATTTATAAAAGTAGGAGAAGGTTATACGAGCTTTATGATGAAAGATTATATAATAGTAGTGTTATATTTAGAGATTATGCAAAACATATTCTAAAATATTTAAAAAAATGTGCTCCACTGCTAAGGCTCTACATTTAGCAACAAAATTAAAACTGCATCCGACAAAATTAAAATGACCTGGAGATTTCCGTTAAAGTTATTTTATCTATAATAAATTAATTGGCACCTTATCTAGCCACTATATTTAATATAAGCGTCGAATCTGGTGTGTATCCTGATTTAATGAAACATAGTAAAGTCATACCTATATTTAAATCTGGTAGTACATTAGACCCCGCCAATTTTAGACCAATTTCTGTACTACCAACATTTAGTAAAATTTTTGAACAAATTATTTTAGATCAGATGTTAAGTTTCTTTAATATTAATAAATTGCTACATAAAAATCAATTCGGTTTTACAAGGGGTCGCTCGACAATTGACGCTGGAGTTGAGCTTATTAAACATATTTTTTGTGCATGGGAGAATTCAGTGGATGCTTTGGGTATATTTTGTGACCTTTCCAAGGTCTTCGACTGTGTTCACCATGAGACATTAATCAGGAAGCTACAGTACTATGGTGTCAAGAACACAGCGCTTAAACTTATTATTTCATATTTAAGTAATAGAAAGCAGAAGGTTATTATCAATGGTAAAAGTTCTTCCAGGTCACCTGTACTAATGGGTGTCCCTCAGGGCTCGATTCTCGGCCCATTCCTGTTTCTGGTGTATATTAATGACTTACCTCACCTTGTAGGGGATAGTCATGATATAGTATTATTTGATGATGATACTTCCTTGATTTTTAAACTTAAACGTGAATCATTTATGTGTCGAAGTGAATAATGCTATATCAAAATTATTGCATTGTTTTAACGTTAATAATCTGCATTTGAACGGAAATAAAACTAATTGTGTTAAATTTACAACAACGAATTTTAAAAATCTGAATACCAATGTGTTTTTAAATGGGGAGGAATTGAGCCCTGTTGTATCCACTGATTTTCTTGGCATCACTCTCGCCGCGAAGCTTCAGTGGGGCCCCCATGTATCCAAATTAGCAAGCAGACTAAGTTCTGCAGCCTATGCTGTAAAAAAGATTAGAGGTCTCACTAGTGTCGAGACAGCTAGATTTGTTTATTTCTGTTATTTCCATAACATAATGTATTATGGGATTTTGTTATGGGGAAATGCGGCTGATTCAGAAACTATTTTTGTTTTACAGAAGAGGGTCATTAGAGCTATTTACAATCAAAAACCGAGAGAGTCTCTTAGAGATAAATTTAAAGAAATAAACATATTAATTTTGGTATCTCAGTATATTTACGAAAATTTAATGTATGTTCACAAAAACAAAGATAGTTTTAGTAAAAAAAGTGATATACATTGCAATTGCAATGTATACGCTATTACAACAAGGTCCCGGAAAGTGTACAGGTTCTTTCTATTACCAAGTTCAAATGTTTTATTAAGCTGAAACTGTATAAAAAGGGTTATTATGGTATAAATGTATACATGGTTGATAATAACCCCTGGGAATGAGGTGGTCGCTTCCAAGCAGTTTCTAAAATAAATTTTGTAAATAGTACGTAATCATTTACATAGTAAAATAAATTTAAAAAAAAAGTCCCGCTGGATTTCTTGCTGGTTCTTCCCAGGATAGAGTGTTTTTTTTCGAACCAGTGGTAAAGTAAAAAATGACTTTCAATAGGAATTACACATGTAATGTATATTGAATAAAAATTATTCTATTCTATTCTATCAGCCGAAAGTTCTTCTAACTCTACACTCCATAAGCGGTAAGAGTAGAAATAAATCAGTTGATTAGCCATGCAGCGCCACTTCATAATGCGAATTACCCAAGACTAGTACAGGACACGGTAATGCATTTTTGGCGTGGCGCTCAAAAGGTTTAGCCCTTAAATGCATCTTGTATCGATATTGATACATTGCATTCTAATAGTTTTTATCGGTTTTTTATTTGAAGTACAGCATAGGCTGAATGTTTACACGTTTCTTTGCCTTATTGCCCACAAACAAACAAAAATGTCATGTGTCAATGTTATTTCTGAAAGATGATTTTCTTGTCTGTGCTAAGGACATCAACAAGGTGCGTATAATCAGAAGACTGAGTTTTTCATCTAGCGGCGAAAACGAAAATAAGTCGAATTTTTACCAATAAAAATCACAAAATGGATGGTAAGTCCTTCATTTACTTGAAAACATTTGAAATTGTACGACTTTCATGTGTTTACGTGAGCAAATATCGCGTTTTATGTTTGTATCGAAAACGATACAGCATGCATTTGATTCCCGCCTAAACCCAATTCAATTGTTTGTTCATAACGGTTTTGCTTATGATTTTGCTTGCTTTTAGATACACAAAACTATACGTTTACGTTGTTAATATATAGATGAATGTATATTTTTGCTTTTCAGAGCAACAAATAGAGGATATGCTCAGGAGGTTGGAGAATGGTGACATTTCGGAAGATGATTTAGAGTCAGATGGAGAAAATATTCCTTATAACCCATATCTAGGAGCCTTAGCAGCTGAATTAGAGGACGATGAAGACGTTCTTACGGGACAGGACAATTCAGAAGATTTTCTGGACCAACCATTGATTCAGGATGAGCAGCTTGTGCAATGCGCACAGTCGTTGGAGCGAGTGGAAGCACAACCGACTGAATCTCTCATGAATTTGAGGAATTTACTGTGGAGAAAACAGTCTTTTCTATTTGATGAGAATAACATCAAATTTGGTGGGTCTGAAGAGTTACCTTCATCTATAATGAAACTGCAAAGTCCGTATCAGTTTTTTATCTACTTTTTCACGAATCCGTTTATGGAAAACATTGTTACTGAATCAGCACGCTATGCTGTCCAGAAACAACCTGACAGACCTGAAATATTCACAGAGGGTGAACTTCGCAAATATTTTGATATTTTAATATTTATGTCTGTTTACCATTATCCGAGCACAAGGTCGTATTGGTCTAATAAATTTAGCTTCAGTCCCATCAAAGAGGCAATGCCAATAAATAAATTTGAGAAAATGCGAAAGTTACTGCACTTCAATAATAATGATGATCATCTGCCAGTAGACCACGTGCAGCATGACAGGCTTCATAATTTACGTCCTATAATCACCCATTTAAATGAAAAGTTCTCTAGCGTGACCATCGAGCAGCGATTATCTATAGATGAACAGATGTGCGCCACCAAAGTGGGACATTTTCTCAAACAATATCTCCCCAACAAACCCCAGAAATGGGGTTTTAAATTGTTTGTTTTATGCAATTTGAGCGGTTTTGCTTATAGATTCATAATCTACTCTGGGAAAGAAGCTAATGAAGGATCCTCAAACAGTCAAAACCTGGGAGTTGTAGGACAAACAGTTATGAATTTTCTGAGTGTGGTACCCAGGCAAAGAAATCATATTGTCTATTTTGACAATTACTACACATCTTTGCCATTGATGTGTATACTTGCTAAGCAAGGTATACATTCCCTAGGCACTATTCAAAGAAACCGACTGGGAAAAACTTGCAAGTTGCCAACTAAGCAGGATGTTATGAAAAGTTCAATTCCAAGAGGGTCTTATGAAGAGTATGTTACAAATTTTGAAGGCATTGACATGACAACAGTAAGTTGGAAGGACAATAAGCAAGTTGTGTTAGCGTCGACATACGTTGGAGCATGTCCCGTAGGGAATATCGAACGATTCGATAAAAAAGAAAAAAAGAGGATTCTTATCACGTGCCCAAAGCTAATCAGGGAATATAACATGCACATGGGTGGTGTAGACCTCATGGATTCCTTTTTAGGAAGAAATAGGATTCGAATGAAGAGCAGAAAGTGGTACATGAGAATCTTCTATCACCTGCTTGATTTGACAGTAATAAATTCGTGGGTGTTATATAAAAAAGTTGAAGAAAAAAAAAGGAAACCACAAACAAATCATGACCCTTGCAGACTTTCGATCAGAGTTGGCAGAAACTCTTTGCAAATATAGTCCCGCTAACAACGGAGGGCGCCCAAGCACCAGTGCAATTAGGGAAGATCAACCCCCACTTAAAATGCGAAAAGGGAAACCTTGCCAAGTTTTGCCACCCCTTGAAGTTAGACTCGACCAAATGGATCATAACATCATGAGAACAGAAACACGTGGTCGATGTATGATGCCATCATGTAATTTATTAAGTATAATTAAATGTTCTAAGTGCAATGTTCACTTATGTAGTAAGAAATCCAAAGATCGTTTCACCCATTTTCACAATTCTTCAACTTTGTAAAATCATGATTATTTTGCAAAGCTAATGCATACTGTATCGAAAACGATACTAAAATATTTTTATAAAAAAATAAATGTTCCCGTTAATATAGATTTTTTATTTTATTTTATTCAGTAAATGTTACGCCTTTATGAGACAAAATAATTTTTTTGGGAAAAAATCTTTTATTATGCATTTAAGGGTTAAAGCAAATTGTTGGCGTTAAGCCAATGTACTAATTTCGATAAATCATTATTTACATCGTAATAATTAACTGCCCTTTGAGTTTGAAAATTAAAGAGGTACCATCAGCAAATAATACTATATCGCAATTGGCCCCTACAAGATAAGTAATCACCAGTTACCAATCAATCAATCACCAGCTTTCTTGAAGATCGGAGCATCAAGGTCGTAGTAGACGGTGCATGCTCCGATTACAAGCACATTTACGCTGCTGTTCCACAAGGCTGAGTGCTATCACCAACACTGTTTCTTCTGCATATCAATATGTTGCAAACCAGTAACATTCATTGCTATGCGGACAGCATTGGTAATGATTTATACATCGGCCGTGCCAATATATCTCGAGAAAACGTCGCCGAATACCGGACCAACTTGTTTCTGAAGTCGAGACTTTGTTGAACAGTGTCAGACTGAGGGCCACTAAATCTAGTCCAGTTCCCCAGAAGACACAAGTTTGCGCGTTTACCGCTAAAAAGAACCCCTTTGTCGTATTTCCTCAGTTTCAAGGCCTCGTTGCCTCAGCCAGTATCGGAATCCTTGGTGTCGACATATCTAGTGACGTGCAGTTTTGTGGTCACTTGGAAGAGAAGGCCAAATTGGCCTCTAAAAAGCTTGGCGGGCTCAGCAGAGCAGGACATTATTTCATGCCAGCATACCGCTTGCTACTTTAAAAGGCGCAGGTTCGGCCTCACATGGAATACTGTTCCTATCTCTGAGCAGGAGCTCCCCCCCCCCTGCCCAGAGATGGGCGCTCTTAAGATTGGCCACTATTAAGAAAAGATAAAGGTTGTAGATACCCAGTATAATAACTGTGTAGCATTTTGTCCTAGTCCTCAGAGGTGAGAACGCATTTGTAGCCCTCTTTATTTGTAGTTGGTTGCAGGGGTCCATGAGCTGCAGTAGCCACTTACCGCTAGATGGGCTCGTTGGTTACATCGATTTTATATATAGGTATTACACCAACGGATTAAAAGTTAGCCTTATATGAAAATAAAAATATATTGAAATGTAATTATTTATTACTGATGACCAATAACTACAAGTACTTCTTTGTTCACAGAGATTGTCAAAGACAAATTCAGTTTACAAATATTAAATTCGTAAAGTCAATTTAAAATAAATTCTAATCTTATATTTTCTTACAAAATCCTTCTCTTTTTTCAAAACTATATCACTTGATTTCTTTAACATAAGCATCTAATTCTGCATCTAATTGTTCAGCTGTTGGTACTGGTTTTTTGCCCCTAGCTGGACCTCCACCACGACCTCCGCGTTTTCCACTTCCACGCTGTCGCTGACTATTGCCTTGATTCCTATTACCTCCGCCTCCTTAAACAAAAAAGAAAATTAGGACTACAGCAAACGGATTGCAGTTTGTTTTTTTTATTCATAGGTTGATAATTATTTCCTTGTTTCTGGGATGTGGATGAAACTCAGAATGGGACTATAATTTGTGGGAATACTCGTTATATTTTTACAATTGTTTGTATATTAATAATTTTTGATACTAAGACATATTGAAGAATAAAAGCCCCAACTATAAAAATGATGTTATTTTTTTTTTTGTTCTTTTTGTTTAGCTTTTAATTCTTATTAATAGTATTATTATTTTACCGGCTTCACAAGTTGAAAGTAACAGCTAGTCTTCTAAATAATTACTTTAAAAACACTGAGGCACCTTCACTCCTATTTTTACACCAATGGATGTAAATTGAATTTTTGCTTCAAATTTATGTAAGACCCACCCTGAAGTATATATATATATATAGCCCATTTAATAAAAAAAATAATGACTTAAAATTGTTTCAGGCGTTTTTGAGACATTGATGAACATACATTAAAAAACATCAAATATAGAACCTCATTTTTTGAACTGGGTTAAGAAGTATATCAACAAATTAAGAAACTACAGTATGAAAGCGATAGATTGTGAACAACTTAAATACTTTTTATATAACTTTTTGTTGTAGTGACATGTAAGTAAAATACAAACGTGTGTGATGTTGCCATTGTAACATTTTATTTTTAGTTGTTTTGTATGATTCATTAAGATATCTCCGACAAAGAGAACTATAGGCCCATCTCATTAGCTACTATTATGGCTAAGGTACTTGACAGTCTGCTTGAGCGGCATCTCAGTGGATGTCTAAAATTACATGATGCTCAGTTTGGCTTTAAAAAGAGTCTCTCCACTGAGAGTGCAATAACACTCAAGCATATTGTTAGGTACGATACCAATAGGAAAACGCCAATTTACGCTGCTTTCCTGGATCTGTCTAAAGCATTTGACCTAGTTAATTATGATATTTTGTGGAAGAAGTTGCGTGACGTGGCCTTACCAACCGAGTTGATTGAAATTTTTAAATACTGATATGGCTACTAATTAAATCAGGTCAGATGGACAGAGGCACTTTCCGACGAGTACAGGTTGGAGTGCGGGGTGAGACAGGGTGGCCTGACTTCACCAGCACTCTTTAACCTGTATATTAATAGTAACCAGTTAATCGTTGAGCTCAGCAACACTATGCAGACGACATGGTGTTGCTGAGCCCATCGATTAACGCACTGAGGATATTATTGAATGTTTGTGATACCTATGCTGAGACTCACGGTCTCATTTATAATGTTAAAAAAAGTGTATTATTGGTGTTTCGCACTGGATCAAAAATTGAAACGATTCCTCCTTTAAGTTGAGGAACGTACTGTTAAATAGGGTGTTCCAGTTTAGGTATCTTGGTCACGTATTAACTGAGGATCTGACTGATGATGCGGACATAGAAAGAGAAAGAAGGGCATTGGCGGTTCGCTGTAACATGCTATTCCGTAGCTTTGCATGCTGTACAGAAGAAGTTAAGATAACACTTTTCAAAGCCTTTTGTCAGTCGTTTTACACACGCAGTCTATGGGTTATACACATACATATATATGGGGTATACACAGAGAGCCTACAATGCCCTTCGGGTACAATATAATAATGCCTTCAGGGTGCTGATGGGACTTCCACGGTATTGTAGCGCTTCAGAGATGTTTACAGTGTACGGTACGGATGACTTTCATGCTATTCGAAAGAGAATCGCATCCCTCATGCGCAGGGTTCGTGGGAGCTCCAATAGCATTCTGATGGCAATATCTCATAAATTTGATTGTCCCATCCTAGGGCACTGGATGCATATGCACTTGCATGTGCCTGGTGTCATGGGGTGTCAAAAATAAAAATAATTGAAATTAAAAATGTGTGTGTGGGACTATATGTGGGTTTGAAATAAATTATTATTATTATTAATCTACACTTAAAAATCATTGTTACTAATCTTATATTTTAATATTAATTTGTAAGAAACTCTACTACCCCACACTAGGGATGCAGGAAGTGCCAAAAAGTATACATCTATGCTTCGATATTTTAAGAAAACATTGATATCAATTTCGATATATCGAAAAAAATATCGATATATCGGTGAAAATAATCGGAAAAAATTCTGTGGGTGTCGTAAGAGGCGATAGAGGGAAATGAAACAGAATATGGGCAGCATCTTCCTGGTAACACTCTAAAATAATAAAAACTGCAGTTGCCCACCCGCTTGCCAAGCATGGCAATTAAAGAAAATATCCCCTTATGAGGCTACTTTTGGTATGTCGTAATGAACTGATGGCAGATGGTTGCAGGAAGCATACTTTTATACTTGCAAGATACAAATAACATAAAAGGTATTTTTTCGTATCTTGGATAGGGTATATGATATTAACTTAAAAAAAGTTCTTATGGCGTCACTTTCACAATAATTAAAACGTAATGAATGAAAAAACATTTTAAGCTTTGTTCAAATTGAGGCGAATCCCGCGCCGCGCGAGACGCGATTCACCCGATCAAATTTCGTCAACTAACTTGTATGGACGTGTTCACATTGACGCGAATAGTCGCACCGTGCTGTGTGCCGATAGTGCCAGATTTTTCGAAATGCCATTGAACCTTGAATTATTTTTAAAAAAAGTAAAAGAAAACAAGATTCTATATGATCTCTGCCACAAAGACTATAAACTTATTTATATTTTCGTAATGTTAGTCTGAGAGCTGGCGACGAATTTTGGGAAGGTTCTTTAGTGAAGTTGAAATTGTGAAAAAATATAAATTCGTCAATTGGCGAATCCAGTCCCGCGAGTCTGGCAGAGCGTTTGCGGTTATTTCGTTACTGCGCAGCATATATATATATATATATATATATATATATATATATATATATATATATATATATATATATACATACATATATACATTATTTATATATATATAAATAGTTTTAGTTTAGTTAGTTTAGTTTGGGAGCCCTAAGCGAGTGAGCGAATCACAGTTGTGTCCAGCGTGGGATCGCCTTAGTTTGAACTTAACCCTTTTTTATGCTAACAATTTAAAGTGTACTATACAAAATTGACTCTTTTATATTGGAAGGAGTGCTTCTATATTGGTTGGATTATATCTGCCATGTTTTATTCACTCTTGATCAACTCGTTGACGTTAGCATACTTTGTCCTTATTATTACTCTTAATTTCATTCTAGTTTCCCTATTATTTCTTTGAAGTTTTTGTTACGTTTGTTCTCTTTGATACTCAAGTTGTGTTTATTTTACACAAAATAAGTGAAAATGGGTCAAACTAGATTTGGACCTAAAGAAGATTGATGCATTATGGTGGATAAGGAGACACTAATCAACAAGCATGTAGAAGATTTGTGGCCTAAGGATGCTTATATCATACCTATAATAAATTTGTTGAAAAAAAAATACAAACCTCTATTTATGTTTCTCCTTGGGCCACCTCCACCTGCAAGTCGACTTCTATCTTCGTTCCTAAATGTACTTATTTCTGATGTTGCTAGCTGTATATTCATTGCACGTCCATCAAGAGGAACACCATTATACTGTTTCATAGCTTTTAATGCATCAGCTCTTCTTTCAAATACTACATCAGCAGTACCTGCAATACATACTAATATAAATAAAAGCATTTCTTCATTATTTAACAAAGGATTAGTACTTGCATTTTAGTCTAAGCTTTGCAGGCTACTGCAACATTACAACACAACAATACATTTAACTTTTTTTGAATATCAGATTCTCTTTAAACTTCAACACAAACAGAGAGATGTTATATGTTTAACATATATATCCGTGTATCTGTCTGTGGCATTGTAGTTCTCCAATGGATAAATTGATTTATATTTAGTTTTATTTTAATTTTTTGAATGTTCTTAGTTATAATTCAAGCAAATCTTTTCAGGCCTTTGAAGATCATCAGCTCTTTCTCTATTTAGTTTTTAAATATTTTTTTTATTCAAGTTATTTATTTAAAGAAAGTATTGCATGTTTCCCTAGCAATATAAATAATGAATGCAATGATGTTATGGGCTGTAAAGTCATAATTACTTTTCTACTTTAAACCAATATATTTCAGTCAAAATCTCTTTTTACAAAATTTTTTCAGTCTTAATATATAAATAATGAATGCAATGATAAATGTTATGGGCTATAAAGTCATAATTAATTTTAATCAATACATTTCAGTCAAAAATTAATTTTAACAGTGGTAGAGCCACACGGCAGCTTTTGCTGTCACACGGATGGGCCGGCTCGAACCGGGGTGGTACCACGACCTCACAGAAAACCAGCGTGAAGTAGCGGTTTACCTCTGCGTCTCCCTTGGTGAGTGCAGGTGACTGGAGGCCCTTTTTACTGGAAATGAGGCATTCCATCTTAGACCTCACGGGTGACAATGCATCTACAATTTGATTTGTAATAGAGGATTGATGTAGATGTCTATAGGCCGCAGCAACCACTTACCATCAGGTGGACTGTGTGCTTGTTTGTCACCCTTAATCCTATAAAAAAAAAATCTCTTTTCACTAATTTTGTTGGTTAAAATTAATTTTGACAACAGATACAGTTTTAACTGTAAGATGTTTTTACTAACTAATATTGCAATCATTATTTTTAATTTTATATGCAAAGTACAGAAATAATAATATTAACATTTTATAAAACCTTAGCTCAACACACTCAACAAGTTACAACATATCTAATATGTACAGTGATCTCAAATGAGCAAGATTATTGTAGTAAATAATCAGTGATACCAATCACAATACCAATATACACTTGACTCAGAGGGAAATGACTTTCAGGGGTTTGTATGTGTCTTGTGCAAAAACTGGGAATATTCATTTTTTTAATGAAAATTATATTTATCAGATACACATAAAAGAATATATAAGTGCTGAATCAAAATTAATAATTTTTATTCACTTAGAATAACCAAAGCAAGCAAAGTAATATAGTAATTATTTAGTAATCATAGTACAAAGTCATAAACTGTCACACAATATCAATAATTTAAGCTTACTTTTTACAAATTTTTGTTTAGATACTATAGTATATACAAATTTCTTTCACTTTTTTATTATATTAACCATTCCTTAAGCGACCTGCAGTTAAAAATAAGTTCTGAAGCAAATGACATTAACTCCTTGATAAGTATCTTTGTGCAACTTTAACCAAATTTTGGGAACTTCTCATAAAAAAAAATTCAATGCTCGGTAAATATGGCAATTGACATCACATAACAGCACTAGCATTTTAGCCATTTTGCCTGCGACAGAACACTGTATTTGCAATTTACAGGCTTTTCAAAATGATCAAACATTTTTAGTTCATAAATAATAAAGAATAATACGAGGCCTATGTTCTGCAGTGGACTTGTAAAGGGCTGTGATGATGGTGATGATGATAATAGAATAAGAGAACCCAATATATTGGTATCCGATTGGTATAGTTTTATGAAAACACATTTTGTATTAATATTTACTACAAATTATTAAATAAGCTTACCTAATGATCTACCAGATCTATCATAGTGTACAGCAGCACTCTTTAGCATGCCAAATTCTGAAAATAACTCTTGAATATCAGAGTCTGAGACCCCAAAATCTAAGTTGGAAACTAATAGTTTTGTAGGGCCAGTCGTCAGAGGTGTACCTCTCTGTATCTTCCTATCGCTGAATTCATTGAACATGTCATGTTTCCATGTGCTGTTAACATCACCCTGAAATAGTTTATCCTTCATAGATCATGCCAACTGGTCAGTTGAGGCCTCTAGAGTATAAATACACTCAAAATACGTGGCAAGTATAATATATACATGTTCTAATAAATTTATAGTTATATAAATACAAAACAACAAATAAGAGTAATATCAATTACAGACGAGTTATAATTAACAATGGTATAGATTTAGTTACAAGGATTTTATCACTTTCACACAACACTTATGTTGCCAATTCTGAGCACAAAACTTGTCCCACAGGAAAAAACACGATCCCAGGCAATCTCGTCCACGAAGTCTGCAGATTGAAGCAGAAGGCTCCAAACATAAATTGAGGCAGAAATCCCTTAACTTCTTACATTTTTCACCGGGATCAATAAGGCAACACGTCGTTCGCACCTCCAAAATTATGTTCATAAAGCAACTCTATTTGAATAATGTGTAACTGAATCCATTATTGCTTTGCAGATTAACCACGATCCAAGACACAGGGATTATAGAAGGCAAATATTCAACGTATGTTATGTATGCTAATAAAACGAAACAAATGTTACTGGGCTGGTCCATGTTTGTGCCCAGTTGGATATAATACAACGGAAGAAACAACGAAGAATAAGTTAGCAAATAACGAATTTGTTTCCTTAAAAATGTTGTCTGAGGGAATTATACAACTTTCACAGGTTTCACCACATATGCACAGCGTCGATGAAGAATAACAAAAGGCGAGATGCATTTGACGCGACATTTTCCACGTTGGTCCGCCATTTGCAATTATAAAAACCATCAAGTATTTTGATTTACCCTTGTGTAATTTGTTGGTTTTGATATTCCTCCACGGTTTCGGCCACGTAAAACGCCACCAGCGCGATTGTTTCGAAATCCACCTCCTCCACCACGACCTGGTCTTTTAACATCAAACTTTCGACCCGCTCCACCTCCACCTCTGCCTTTTTTATTTGCTTTTATAATATCATCTAATGCCATGTCAATTCTATCAACCATTTTTGCGTTTCTAAATAAAAATACAATGAAAAATAATATCCACCCTTAAGACTTCGACTATAAAATGAAAATAAAACTCAAAAATTTCCCTCCACTTTACAACCACGCTGTCCTTAGCTCAGTGCTGCCAACAAGGTTTCCAATGCCAATGTATGTAATTCCCCAAAAATTCATATAAAATTCCCCAAATTTGAGAACAAAAATCATATGATTCCCCACACATTCCCCTCAATATTATTTTAAACAATGAAACAAGTTTCAACTATTTAAATAATATTTATTTTTTTATACATGGTAGAGCCATGCTGCAGCTATATTAGTAGTATATTTGTAGCACGAATGGGTCGGCTCGACCGGGGAAGGACCACGCTCTCACAGAATATCAGCGTAAAATAGCAGTTTAAAACTGCTGTGTTTCGTATGGTGAGTGTAGAGAACTGGAGACCCTTTTTACTGGAAAAGAGGCATTCCATCTTAGTCCTCACGGGTGACAACGCATCTGCATTTTGATTTGCAAACGAGGATAGATGTAGATGTCTATGGGCCACAGCAACCACTTACCATCAGGTGGACTGTGTGCTCATTTGTCACCCTATCCTATAAAAAAAAAACCTTTGTTGCACTTTTTCCATTCGTTTGATGCAAGCATTTTGCTCGAAGGATTATTAAACTTGATAATGTCGCCCAATTGTTTTATCCCTTCTCTTATTGCTATTAAAGATACTACAGTATCTGTTTTAGCTGATTGCGGTTTTCTGTTTTTAAATATCGAAGCGCACTAAATTTTCTTTCAACCGATGCGTTTGAAAATGGCAGTATGAGCAACAAAAACATAACAATTTTTATGTTTGGAATTTTATTTTTATTTTTAATTGTTATTTTTAAGGCGAAACTTTTAACCTCAGTAACTTTCAGCATCGATGTTATCTCAAGCCCATGTTGATCAAAATCTAACAAAGCGTGAGTTCGCCACTCGTCATCTAAGTTTTGTGCGATCACAAATTTATAAAACACAAAAACTGTTGAGCTTCTTATGGATTTACAGCGGATATATTAGAAAATAAAGGATCCCCGAAATCAAATCGCTTGGTAATGTCTGATGTCAATTCAATATAAAACTCCTGGCAGGTTCTATAGAAATCCGCAATAGCAGCACGAGGTATATTTTCGTCATTTATTTAATTTTCCATACTTTCTCCAGCCTTTGATCCAATATATATTTCGTTTAAACTTAAAAAAAATGTGTTGGATTTTTGAAGTCTGTGTTTAAAATATTAGCACAAGACTTGACATAGCAAATTTTCATGCAATTAGAAGACTATGCTTTTAAAAGGTTTTCGACTTCTGGTTTCAATTTGTGAAGAAGAGATATTTCTGATTGAAATAAGACATTGAATTTTGTTATCAGTGCAAGTACGTAAGACATGAATTCCAAATATATCACTGTGTATTGATTGTTCATTGTAATCAGCATTTCTCCGGTAGTCTTCGACGGATCTGAGAAGACTGTTTCTGTCAAGTAGGCTTTTAATGGAATATACTGCTACTGATAAAAAAAAATTAAACTGAAACAGAAACAGAAACTTTTTTATTCAATATAGATTATAAATAATTCTTATTGAAAGTCACTCTTTTGTATAATTACCTCTGGTTCGAAAAAAAAACCTCTGTCCTGGGAAGAACCAGCAAGAAACCCAGCGGGACTTTTTTTAAATAACAGCTTATAATCATGTATGTTACACAAATTAACAACACAACAAATTAGAAATAGCTTGGTAGCGATCACCTCATTTCCAGGGGTTATTATCATCTATAAATTCATTAATATTATAATAACCCTTTTTATACAAACTTAGTTTAATAAAGTTTTTGAACTTTGAGCAGGTCAAATTTTGTATATTTTCTGGAATTTTGTTGTAAAATCGTATACATCGCCCCAAGAATGAATTACTAACTCGATGGAGTCGAGTAACTGGTACAACTAGCTTGTGTCTGTTCCTAGTATTTACAGAATGAATATCACTTATTTTTGTAAAACTACTTTTATTTTTGTGTACCGTACATTACATTTTCATAAATGTATTGAGAGACCAAAGTTAATATATTAATTTCCTTAAATTTTTATCGCAGCGACTCTTTAGGCTTTAGATCATAAATTGCTCTTATGGCCCTCTTCTGTAAAACAAATATAATTTCAGTGCCAGCTGCGTGTCCCCATAGCAAAATACTATACGACATTATGCTATGGAAATAGCTAAAGTAAACTAGTCTAGCTGTTTCAACATTAGTTAGACTTCTAATCTTTTTTACGGCATATGCTGCAGAACTAAGTTTGCTTGCTAGTTTTGATATATGGGGGCTCCATTGATTCCAAGAAAAATAGTGGTATCTACAAGACTCAGTTTCTCCCCATTTAAAATTACATTAGTATTTAATTGTTTGACATTTGGAGTCATAAATTTCATACATTTCGTTTTAGTGCCATTTAAATGCAAATTATTAACATTGAACCAATTTACTAATTTAGATATAGCATTATTTACTTCGTCATATTTTAGCAATTGTCGTCTTAATTTGAAAATTAAAGAAGTGTCATCTGCAAATAATACTATATCATTGTTATCTGCTACTATGTAAGGTAAGTCATTAATATATACAAGAAACAGAAAGGGGCCGAGAATTGAGCCTTGAGGTACGCCCATTTGTACCATCGACCCGGAAGAACTCATACTGTTAATGACAACTTTTTGCGTTCTCTTACTTAAATATGAAATAATTAATTTAAGAGCATCACTTCTTACACCGTAGTGTTGAAGTTTCCTGATTAATGTTTCATGGTGAACACAATCGAAGGCTTTGGATAGGTCACAAAATATACCCAAAGCATCCTGTGAATTCTCCCATGCATTAAATATATATTTAATCAGCTCAACACCGGCATCAGTTGTCGAGCGACCCCTTGTGAAATCAAATTGATTTTTATGAGGTAAATTATTTATATTAAAGAAATTTAACATTTGATCAAGAATAACTTTTTCAAAAATCTTACTAAGTGTTGGTAGTACAGAAATAGGTCTAAAATTGGCGGGGTCTAATGTACTACCAGATTTAAATAAAGGTATTACTTTACTATACTTCATTAAATCAGAACTGCAAACTGTATAAGTCCATGAAATTTCTGTAATAATATTCACAACACAAAAACAACAACCTTATAAGATACACAAAACAATTTTACGATTGCTGAAAGAATAATAGAGATGCCGAAAATTAAATTTGGCGCAATGAACAGTATTGAGTCGACCGTTATCCATAAGTAACTAAACTAAAAAAAAAATATTAAAATGTTTGGAATTCTCGCAAAAGTACTTAAGTAGTAAGATGTTAAAATCCCCGCATAATGCCAGTCCCCAATAAATCCCCAATCAAACTGAGATTTCCCGTAGTTTGAGGAATTCTCCACAAATCGGTAACACTGGCTGCCAACCAAGAATACCACAGACTAATATGATCAAAGAGTATAGTAATTGTCCTAAATATGAAGCCCGCTTTTCACTATGGGATATAATATAATGTATATTACATCTCGAGATATAAATTAATATCGCTCACCATACATTTCCTGTGGAACCGTTTACACTGAGCTATAATATATATTACATCTCAAGCTATAAATATTTTTTCGATCGACCGAGCGATATTTTCATATTATATTTCGCCCCCTGTACCTCGTACACCGTTCCGCGCCCCCTCAAACGGTGTACGGGGTAAAGGGAGGTAATCCAATGACCAATGACGAACGCACACTGGTTAAAAGATATATCTCACAGTGTGAAAGCCAATCGCGGGATATAATTTATATTTCGGGATATAATATATATTATATCCCGTAGTGAAAAGCCAGCCTGATGCTTACGCATCAGACAGGGCACTCCCATAGAGTTAAACTCACAGAATACTTTACTCCTAGTGGAGATGGTTAAACCACAGACTAACTAGTAGATTCTACACGAATAAACTTAAAAACATAACGGGTTAAACTGAACTAGTCTAAGCTCACATAATATAATACATATCAGCTTTTTTTCTTTTTAAATTTTTATTCATGATATAAGTTTGGTTTGATAGAGCCTACTTTTTATAGGACCTAGGTACTTTAGTACGCCTTTTATCTATTAATCTAATTATGAAATGAGTTCATAAAAATGTTTATGTTTAGATCGATTCGATTCGAACTTGTTAAAAGGGGAATGTAAAATAAATGGAAACAATGTGTTATTTTAACATATTTTTATTCTTTAATTTTATCTTAAATTTATTAAAAGCTTTTAATTGCATTTGAGGCAGAGTTTTTTCTCTAACCTTAGGACATCTATTACCTTTCAATATTTTATTAATAGTATTGTATCAATTAAACGATGTCAATATTAAAGTTAATGTTATAAAGTGTTTAAAAACATCATCCTTATGCACTTCGCAGTTTTAAAGTCAAATAAATGCTTGGGTTTGATGAGAGTTTTTATGTTTTTTATAATATCACTCTGGTGAGGTTTTGTTTCTAAATATTTGTTTGTTTGTTGTGTTACTGTCCCAAAATTCCACCGCCTTTTTCGCTCGTAAACTGAAATCAAGCTGCCTCTGTGATCTTGTGTATTGCCTGTAAAGCTTAGCACAATGCGGTGACAGCTTAATTGTCTGTATGATATACCGTTTCCTCTATGTTGTTGGAGAATGATGCACAAGTTTATCTAAAATAAAAAAATAAGGAAATAAGAAAAACTAAGTCATTTGCCCCCTTCAAATATTCAATGTTGTATTTTCTACTGATAATTGGATTGGGTGTATGTTTAGCGAAAGGTTTTTTCACATATAAAAAAGAAAATATCATGTAGTCATAACTTATGCAACAACTAAATTAACAGGGTCACTGCAGTTCATATTGATGATTAACGATCTTCCGAGTGTTGTGAAAGATGCGATGTGTCTGCTATTTGCCGACA